AATCAAATAAAGTTTTAGCATTTGTGCAGGGAACTGAGATCAAAAATGGGGATACTGCAACAACATGTAAACTGTGACTTGATACATTTTAAAGTTGAATTTATTTTCTCACTAAAAATCATATGAAAATTGTACTGCAACTGTTTCACAGTATAAACACATAGTGAAATCACACCAGGCAGCTTCACCCTCATCCTGAGGCCCGTGCCTGCAATGTCAAGATAGCTAGCATATTGCATTAAAAATATTGTGAGCTATTTAATTAACAAGACTTAATATTGCATCCTAAACAGTTTAATATTTGTAAAAATAAAATACTATCACTCATCAGGAACAAAACTGAGTTTTTTCTTGCAAAGCTTGACCCATTTTGAAGATGCTGATCCATCTTTGTACTCAGAGGAATTGGATGTTATTTTCATGGCAATATACATTTCGTACAGGTAGCGAGTGGCCATATGCGTTATGGATTTTGGAACTCAGAGCTGCACAGTAAATATTTTCACAGGCAGGTTTCCTTCTTTGGGAGTGGACGTCCTTCAAGCTGCCCGTGTATTTGTCTGTTTTTGGAGAAAACATGTAGCTGGAGGCCCGCTCAGCTCTTCCTGGGCACTGCTGAAGCCCTGTGCTGTTTCCCAATGATGACAGCAACACTGAGGGATTCACAGACTAAGCAGCAGCAGCACTGAGGCTGAAGGCAATGAGAGCGAGAATCACTGTTTGCTGACATGACTAGACTGAACATAACCGAGCTGCTGCTGTTCTGGGGTGTGTAGACGTTAGAGCCGGATGTGTATGAATTACAGACGAAGCTCTGTGTGTGGCTGGCAGCATCAAGGCCAGTGGGGGTAGGTCACCTGCTGGCGAGGGGAAAGAAAAGAAAAGAAGGGGGCTTGTTCAGGGTGTAATGAGTTTCACCGCAGTGACCCGCCTATATGTTTTCATACAGAGCTTATTTTGTCACACCCTCACATGCAGACATCAAACATTTCCTCCTTCACCGCTCCACCCTCCTCTCTCTTTACCTGAATTCTTCTCTTAGGTTTCTGGTTTATTTTGCTAGTGTTTACTAGTGTTTACCCTCATCTTGTGAGGTGGGCCATGTGCATGTTTCTGGACTATAATTACAGGTTTGAAGTTTTAAAAAAAAGCTAGAATTTAGGTTAGATATTCTCAGTGTTACGGCCTGAAAATAGAACCAAAACAAGGCTGCTGTGGGTGAGGTTCTGTTTTAGTGGAGCTGCTTTGAAGGGACGATAGATGATGGGTCTGTTTTTGTATTTTCTGCATTGTATTTGTGCATAAATGTTGTTGTTATGGGTTTCCCTGACATGAGGATAACATCTCAGGTACATCCCCTGTTAAAGTAAGCTACTGCTACTGTGTCACAGGCCCGTGTGTTCTGCCTGCCATCCTGTAGAGTGGTTTTATAAGCATCACCTACTGTAGACAAGCTGTAAATGAACTCCTCACCCTTGACTGCATTTTGTTTGTTTTAACTAAGAACATATAGGTCAGTCTGCACTCACCTCAGTGTTACCACTTCATAGGTGTAGTGCTGCCAGAGCGCACTGGAATGACAAGACTGCAAGAGAACCAGTAAAAATAGTGAGGTCATTGTCTCGCCCATCACTGTGTAAGAGATATTTATACCCTTCCTATTATTCAGAGCATTTATTTCACATCACAGTTAGTTGCATTATAACCTGGTGGAACTGATATTAAAGCGTTCACCTGTCAGAAAGACGTTTTTGTGTGAATTAGGGGCACGTGCTTCCAGATGTTCTAACAAACTGGTTTCTCTTGTTCTTTTATACTATTTGACTGAAAGGCTCGAAATTTATAAAAGCAGCCCCATGAGACTGTAATGAGGTGATGTGATAACAAGAAACAAAAGGGATCTTCCTCCAGTGAGCATAAAAGAGATTAGCAATGCCTTCATCTTTGTTTTTTACTAAAGGCAAGCGCACTGGAAAGGAGGTTTCCAGTGCATGAGGATGTCACAGCATGTTGCACTGGAGAGGGTATCAGTTCATTCTATCTTACTGAACTGATGAGTCGATTCAGAAAGGTATGTACAGACAGATGTAAGTTACTTCAGCAGAACTATTTACATGATTATATATATTTATATACACACAAGAAGGAATGGGTGGGGGTGGGGGGTTTGTTTTCATGAGTCGGTAAGTGTAAAAGGTAGGAAGGGGTAAGAGAGAATGAGGAGTGGGTAAGGTAGAAAGGGGGATGGGCAGGGGTTTAAGGAGGAGGGATGGTCTGCTACCCTCCTCTTCCTCTTTTTCTGTCCCTTCTTCTTTGTTCTCATTCAATTCTTTATTCTCAGTGCTGCATGTAGTTGTCTCCTTCTCCACCTTCTTGTTCTCTTTGTCCTTAATCTTTTCTTTTTCTTTCTCCTTCTTTATCATGTTTTCCTTCTTCTCCTTCTCTTGCTCTGTCATGATTTTCTCCTCCTGCTCCTTTATAACATTGATCTCTAACGGCTCCTTTGTTTGCAGGACGAGCTCCTGAAAAGAGAGAAATCCTTAATTTCACATCCAAAAATGAATTCTCACCTCATCTAAAACAAACCATTAGACTCCTGAAGCGCCTTGTTTTTGGAGGTGAGGAGGCTGATCTGTCTGGTTCACCTCCTTCTTCCAGCTGCCGACTTTGAACACGCCAGGAAATTTGATCTGGAGCCAAGACCCGTGTTTACTTTCTCACAGCACTTCTACTGTCTCCCTCACACATAAAGAGAGATGTGAAAACTATTTGTGGTTTGAGGTGTAGTTGTGTGCTCGTGAACAGCAGCTGTGCATGGTACCAGGAGTCCTGTCATCACGGTGAGGTTGCCAGGTTTGTTACAGTGGTGTCTGTGCAGAGTCTGTGCTTAGTGATTACATCTGGCACCTCCTGCTATGCCAAGACACGCTGCATGGAAGTGCTGAAAATGATTTTTAAACGAAGCAACAGCAGCATGATGGATAACGTTAGTAATAAGAATCATCTAGTATAGTTGATGTAATATAACTAGAGGTTTGCATCAGGGAACTTGCAGGGATACATCCATCCACCAGTCCATTTTCTATAATACTTATCTTGCTCAGGATTGTAGGCCTATCCCAGCATGCATAGGAGTACACCTGGGCAGGTTGTGTTACAGCAGAGGAGAAATGTAGCCACAACTGGATATTAAAATTAACCACAAAGAGGGTAGACATGCCACATGTTTAATATAGCAGTACTCTGAACTGTGTTGTCCTTTCCCACAACAACAGCTGTATGTACATGATTAGCTCTGTGTGAGACAACAAACCAAATCCTTCCCTTTGTACTCACAGCAATGTAACACACTTGTCAGCCTACACTTAATTATATGGCTTAGACGAGTTCACCCATTTCTTCTCTCCACTGGTGGAGTTTTTGCATCCCTCCCCAAGCAAACCCCTTTGATGCAGTTGCTAGGCAACCCCTGCTCTGTCTCTGCCCTCCTTTCCCCGAGCAGACAGCTCGCTGGTCTTGTTAGAGGGTGTGAGTAATCTAAGTCAGCTGTAACTGATTCAGAAACATGTGCACATCGCACTGAGTAAAGCTGAGCTGTCATTCATCGTGTTAGGCTGTGTTTCATATTTTTATTGGCCCTTCGTGCTCACTTTTATTAGCAGAACGCGACTGGACTGGGCTACTGGTTTAAGGTTGTGTGAGATCAAAGTTGCAGCTCATCACACTGACCTTTAAACGTTCTTGTCAGCAGGCAGTTATTGCTTCCTGTATTCACAGAGAAGAAGGCAATCATTTAAAGTGCTCCAGATACTGGAGTCTGAAGTGCTGCTGCTTGTGTGTATCTCACTGGAAGTTTGGGTTGGATTAACCCATTTACTCTGATCATTCAATTGCACAAGTAAGGGCTGTAATATTCTATTTAGTGAACATTTTTGCCAAGAGGAACAACAATATTCTTGTGGGCATTACTGTAGAGGATTAAACCTATTTCTCACCCTATGGACTTTATTGGAGGGTGTAATTAACTGGCAAATGAGTGTATGTGCCACCAATAAGAACTTAGTCTGTGTCAGTCAAGCTATTTCTTTTTCTACTACTATCACTTAACTACTATATTCTAATGCTGGCCTTTTATGTTTTCTCTTTTATTAAGTTTTGTAAATGGATAACACATTAGGCTATAATATCAGAAATCATTAAAAGAAAAGTAATTTTTAAAACGCTGTTTCAATTCCATATAATCACAGTACTCTAAAAGTAAGGATTTCAGAGTGGCCCTTGAACTGTTGTTTTACATACGAGTAACAATTTAAAGGAAAAGCTAATATTAACTGTCTCAGTGAGGTGCTGGGCCACCACACGTCACCAGAACAGCTTTGGTGCATCTTGGCATTGACTCTCCAAATCTCTGAACCCTGCTGGAGGGATGAACGTCATTCTCCCAAAACATATTCCCTCATGTGGTGTTGTGATGATGGTGGAGGAGACGCTGTCTAACACATCAATCCAGAATCTCCCATAGGTGTTCAACTGGGCTGAGATCTGGTGACTGTGAAGGCCACAGCATGTGAGTCACATCACTTTCATACTCCTCAGACCATTCGGTGGCCCCTCCCGTCCTGGGGATGGAGGCACTGCCATCCTGGAGGAGCCCACTCATTTATTCAGGGGTTTCCTGTCATTTGTCATTGTCTCCACCTTCATATTGCACAAAACAGTTCCTGTGTTGTAATTTGTTTAGCATCCTATTTTATTTATGCCATTTAAATGAAACTAGCTGCTTCCTTACATGTGTGACACGCTGTAGCCCTTGCACGTGACATGTAGGTGAGTTTCCCATAGGAATCAATTCTCATATATTTCAAACTTTGGTCTTTGTCTACGGGTTTACTTTATAAAGTGACAGACTTTCATGCTTTCTTTCCCCCCCAAATGTAATTAATTCAAATCCATTACAGATGATGACTGGGGCGCGCACCTGGCCACGCGCTAACCCCGCCAGGTGTGCTAAGAGCAGCAAAGTGAACCACGAGTCACTTCCTGTCACAACATTTAGGCTAAACACACTTTACACTTACGTGGTTTGGGGTGTTTGGATACCATGGGAAAATAATCTAGCGAGCACACACTCACTTTGTGCGTTCTGTCAAACACAAATGGTCTGTTCTTTAAATACCACATCACTCTACTAACATCTCATGCTCGTATTGTGAAAGTACATTCGGCGAGCTTCTGGTTTTATTGTCCTAACTTGACACGGGGGGTGCTGTCGCCAGCCTGCAGCATCACAAAATAACACACTTCGGATTGATTCATCCCGGGTATTGGAATCGCTGTGGAAGATGGTGGCCAAACAGAGGATCCGCATGGCCAACGAGAAACACAGCAAGAACATCACGCAGAGAGGAAACGTTGCCAAGACGCTGGTGAGCAGCGAGACGCCAGCATGACATTAGCCCAGATAGGTGACGCGCGCCCCGGTAGGAATGCCACAGCATCACGGTGAGGGTGATGGTGCCGGCAGCCGGCCTGTAACGGTAACGCGTCCTGTTGATCTCACACACGTCATACAGCGTGTGTCAGGACCTGCACAGCACCTGGTCACCTGGGATGTATCCGGACACGTTGGGATCGGCTCGGCTCGGATCGTCACTGCCCTCCGCGCTGTAACTTGGCGGTAATTTGTTGGAGTAAGAATAAAATGTGGACCAATTGTTTTGTACGATGGAAATACGAAACTAAAATCAAAGTGTGACGTGAATATACAGCGGTTTGGAGGGATCCAGGTGACGCCTGCCTGATCTGTCAATCACAAAGTTAATGATTTCCTAAAAATGAACATGTTCCAGCTTTGATAGTGTTGTTAGTCTATGGAAGTAAACTATCTTCTCATTTTAGACTGGTGGTTGAACAACAAGCAACGTGAAGATGCCACGTTTAGAAAATAATGTTGACTATTCTGCTCTTCACTATTTTCTAGTCTATTTTTGACTGGTGATAAAAAAAATCATTTAGGCTAAGAAAATGTAAACAGATTAATTGATAACTGAAATCATGGCTGCTTTCAGCACTGTCATGTTGGCAACAGGGATGCTATACTTAGGATTCATTCAGAAATTTGAGGATCACACCTTGTGATGGGCAGTTTTCACTATTCTCTGATAGTCTCACTCTTGATTGTACCACATGTGCAGCAGCCCAGCTGTCACTGAATTGTACAGATGTTCAGAGCTCTGTTCACTACCCAAGGCTCCATCTTGGCTTAGCAATGAAAACTGAGAGTGAAAGCTCCTTCTTGATTTTGGAACCAGCAGCTGACAAAACATACTATTTTGTATCTGTGTTCATTGTTGTTTCCAAGGTCATGAAAAGAAGTTTGGTATAATCAGTATCAAATATTACTTTTACCTATGAAACCTGAGCCACTTTCCTTCTGTAGCGGTTGTAAGTGTAGGTAGGCACTTGAAGAGAATATCGCTGAGTAAAAGAGTTTTTTAAATCTGTGAGTGAAGATTTTCTCACTCATCCTCTGCTATATTCATTCTGAAAGAAGGGAGTGTGTTTCCTGTAGCCAGTATTTTGAATTGTTTTCCTTGCAGCTATTCAAATACAACTCTGCATGTTCCTCTGCACATTATTTAACTGGTGCTGCATTCATCTTGTTTTGACACACATGATTAACAGATAGTGTAACCTATTTAATTGATTGAATGAGGCTTTAATCAGCTTTTCTCATCCCCTTGAAACTTATACTAACGACACAGCAAGCTCAGTTTGACCACATGACCGGGAATAATATTGGTATGGATGAGACACCCTCCTCTGTTCCTAAATGGAGAGTAAACCGTGTCATAAGCGCTGTCATTGTATGAGGAATACAACCAGTTTTTCCAGCATCACTGAATCGTGTATCTCCGACTGTACCACTGTCCCTCACCACCAGCAGAAAAACATGTAGCAAGTCTCCAAACAGATGATATCAGCTTGTGGGACCAATGTGTGCTCCCTACATGTGTCTAGACTGACAACTCATGCTGTTCCACTCATCTTTTCCAGGTCAGCTACAGTGTGGAAAAACTGCTACCTCTGCACCTCTCAGTGTATAATGACTCAGGGGCTTGGTCAGCTTGACCACAGGTTGTTATTGTGGACATTTTGATGAGCAACAGCATCATCTTGTCTCCTTAGCTTTGAAAAACAACAAACAGGGAGTGTAGGATTAAGCAGAAAGCGAGACCAGGCAGAAAGCAGGAGCAACAGCCACTAAAAATGAGAAGTCTCTGTAAATCTATCCACAGTAAAGATGTTTTATTTTTGTTCTGCAGCATCTGTCACTTATGTCTTGCAGCAGCAATGCTAATGTACTGTGTGTGTCTGTGTGTGTTTCCCGTAGCGACCACAAGAGGAGAAGTATCCTGTGGGCCCGTGGTTATTAGCCCTCTTTGTATTTGTTGTGTGTGGATCAGGTATGTACCTTTTATATCTACAGAAGAAAGTGTGTGTTTGCATGATGTTTTTGTCTTTGTTCATGGTGAGCTAATGTAGCTAATATAGCAGTTGATTAGATTCATAAATTTTACACAACCATTATTTAAATTGGCCGAGTGGTGGGAAAGCCGTGCTGCCAAATGCGTGGATGTCTATGAGGGTCTATTTACAATTAAAATCCAGTAAAGATGTTTTATGAACCATGAGCAGAGGCAATTCATTGTCGGTTTTAATCTCTGTAAGGGGGAGTGTTGAAAATAATGTTAATATAGAAAAGGACCGGCCTTATCCTTTAACCCCCAGCTGCTCCAGTGGAGCTGCTCAGTGGCCAGCAGGTTAGCCTGGTTGTACTGAGCAGCTTCCTGGTGCAAATGTGTAACTTTGTGCATGTGATAAGGGTGTTCCTGCAAAAGAGAGGCGGCCTCTCAGAGAACCTACATAAAGGTAGAAAGACAAAAAGATTTTTTTTAGCCGTTTGTTGTTTTATTTGTAAAAAAACAAAAAAAAAACAGACATGTACTGTCTTATGATACATGTTGCTTTGTTAAATTTTAGGGAAAAAAGCAGATTTTCATACCAAAACATTATCTTTTATAGATACTGGCAATAATGTTTCTATAACATACTGTACTATTATTTAGCTTGTATAGCCGAGTTTTTGATAGCTCACAGTATTATTACCTGCTGGGATATACAGTACTGTATAAAGTCAGTACATTCCTAAGAGAAAATGAATACCGAAAATAAGCAGTCATCTGTCAAATGTTATTTGTTGCTTAGTTTTGACGTGACATTTCTTTCATTAGAATGTCCAAAAGCTGCACCATAGTCTGGTATTTTCTATTATCTGAACTGGCCAAAACCTGCTGCAATAGGGTGGCAGCACAGACACGTCTTAAAGGCTGGATGGGGCATCTGTCTACCTTTCGGTAGCAGGCTAATAAACAGATGTGGCCAAGTGTCAGTGCACCCCTTACACATCAGCAGCAGCGGCTTAGTGTAGTTCAGCTATCATTAATAGCTTGTTGTTATTTACACCTGTGCTTTTTCTACTGCAACATGTCAAAATGTCATTGGTTAAAAAAAAGGCCTTGGTCATGCTCATAAATAACAAACCTACAGTAAACAACAATGAAAGAAGTCGGTCTATGTGCTTTCAGCCATATTTCAGATCATCCAGAGCATCCGCATGGGGATGTGATTCAGAAGGAGCCTCGAGACTCCCCCTTCCCCCCATGCCCTCATTGAGCCTGGGTAAGCTTGCACTTCTACACCCTCACCCGAACTCCAGAGGCCCAGAGACTAAACACCAGAGCTCCGGGTCCACCACTGCCTCCACCAGCTCCACCTATGGACATGTCCCTGCCCTCAATCAGCATTTTACCGTGTTGCAGTCTGTGGTACTGACAGCTTTTCTATGGACAATCTAAAAAAAACAAAAAACAAGCTGGCTGGAGAACATGTGTCATTGCTCACCTGTGTGTGAAGGCGTGAGACTGTGTGCGGCCAGTGATTCCTGCTTTTTATCTGTCTGTATCAGTCTTTGTGTTGTGAGAAAAAAAAAACTTTTTCAAATAAATGTCAAGCATTTAGGGAGTGCCCGGTTTTACTGCTGATTTTGTAGACTCCCTGTGTTTATCAGTGCATGCACCACCATACACACAGTGTGTTGATGTGTTTTTGGTACAGTGCATGAGGAGAGCCTGTCCTAAGGGTTGGACCAGGCAGCACAGCCTGGTGGAAATACTGCCATAAGGCTGTTTTAAAGGCCTTTACTAAGGTGTGCCAACAACAGGAAGCAAGAAGATACTTGAAATCATGTATATGAAGTTTACAATCAGTAGAAATATGACCAATTAGTAGAAATTAGATTGTTAAACCGGAGAGAAAGTCCCACAAAGATCCATTTAAACCCACAATCTGGAGAGCTGTGGCATTCATTCATTTTCTACCGCTTAATCCCGAGCGGGGTCACGGGTGGGGCCGGAGCCAATCCCGGCTGGCAATCGGGCGAAGGCGGGGTACACCCTGGACAGGTCGCCAATCCATCGCAGACAAACAACCACACACACACACGCACATGCACTCCTATGGGCAATTTAGAGACACCAATCAACCTAAGCTGCATGTCTTTGGACTGTGGGAGGAAGCCGGAGTACCCGGAGAGAACCCACGCAAGCACGGGGAGAACATGCAAACTCCACACAGAACGGTCCCAGGTGGGGCCCGAACCTGGAACCTTCGCGCTGTGAGGCAACGGCGCTAACCACTGTGCCACCGTGCTGCCCCCAGAGAGCTGTGGCAAAGGATCTGAAAATATCTGTAAAAGACAGATTTTGAATGCATGACTTTTAATATGTTTGTGAAATCTTGTTTTCACTTTGTCATTATGGGGCACTGAGTGTAGATTGACAAGATGTTACCAATATTTCAAAGTAAATCAACACAAACTATATACAAAGTGAAGGGGTGTGAATACTTGTTGAGGCCACGTGTTGAATTGTACCCCTGCCCTGTCTGTTGACCTGTTGACCTGTGGTACACTGACTAAAATCTGACTAGAATCTGTTTGCAGAAAAGATGGCGGACTGCCAACCTTGACAGGAAGTGGGTGTAGTTGACATTAGCCAGAAGTTGTTCACCTCTGCAAGTTTACATTTAGGTTTAGAGTTAGGGGTTGGGGTTAATGTTACCCTCAACCGTAACCCAACTCATGGAAAAGGTTGACCACACCGAGCTGGTGCCGACAGATGCATCTCGGTCATACGCTGCCATCTTTATCTGCAGCCAGATGATTCTCTAAATGCTACTTAATTCTAGTCTAGCAATTGAATTTGATGTGTAAAATTTGAATATTTAATTTACACATAAATTGTTCCAAAATACATGGTGAACTGTTAGGTCTTAAAATTAGGTGTGACCAATCACTTTGAACTCACCTGAACCATAAATGAAGGCAGAAAAGGTCGCCTAAGCCAATTTCACATGTGAACTCTGGACTGTGTCCATGGAATCGGGGCAGGAGACAGTCCATGGCTAGGATTCAGTGCTCTCGCCACTGCAGCCCGGGTTCGATTCAGGGTTGCATCAGGAAGGGCATCCGGTGCAAAACACGTGCCACGTTGGATCGAGGATGCGGGAGGTGAGACGTAAAGCAGTGAAGTAGCCAGTTTGTAGTTTGGTCATAAACAAGTCTCTTGCTGTTCTTTAAATTTGTCTGATGATTCTGGCACCAGTTATTAACAAAAGTTCCCGAATGTCATTGTGTCTCTGGTTAGACATTTTTGTTGGCGTCTTCATTGTAAGCAACCTTTTTTTTTTCCCCCACAATGGGATGTTTGTACTCTGATTTTACACTGGTCATATGATAGAGCATCAACACAACCACCAACTCCATGTGAATACTCTGGAATATACATTTGTTTCCTTACATGGTCTCATCCGGCTTATTCTGACATTACACAGATTTTGTACTAGGGAGCTGGCAGCGTTGAGTCCACTTAATGTCCATCCGGACACCAAGAGGAAGCCACATGACTCCAAAATATGACTGGACGTGCTGGACAGGGAGCATGAGAAACAGAGAGCAACCAGGTAAATATTCTTCCTTAAGCATGTTTATTGAAAGTTGTGAAGTGCAGCTGTGATATGTGTGTTACAATATCTCATCCAGTCTTAGCGGAAACATGCACAGAACAGGAGCATACAACTAATACACAGAATGAAAACGGAAAAAATATCACCAGTTTGTTTTTGTTTTTTTAAATGTTGTTTTATGATATTGTTCATCCAGAAGTAATTCACTGTCAAAACTTAATATACTCATAAAGGTGCAATACTCCAGAAAGAAAAAAAAAAGCCAAGTGAAAATGGTTTGAGTCGGGTAAAGTTGCAGAAAGGGAGGTGCACAGCACTGTTGGCTGCATGTTGTCAGTTAAATAACCTAAACTCATCTTGATCCACAATCCTGAAAATACAGCATTAAAAATAGACGACACAGACCGGGCAATACTAGCATGATCCTCGCTCACCCGCTTCAATCTGTGTGACCTAGATAGCATCTTATTGTTTTTCACCTCCTCCTCACTATTTTACATGGTACTTACACTATACAGAAATATACATCATCATCTGCCGATCAAACATTTAGGAATAAAGAAAATGCAGCTTAGCCCAATGTCTCCACCCTGTCAAATAAGGTTTAAATCACATGACATCGCAGGGTTGAGGAAACAGCAACAATGAGCTTTGTCAAGTCTGAAGCTTGAAAGTGAAATTCTGAAAATAGAATAATCATCTCCATAAGAAACCACTGTTTGTTCATCCCATCAACCCACAGCTGAAGTAACATCAGTGCTGCCAAGTGTTCAAAATACATCCCCCCGCACCCCCGTTCCTTCACCCGACTCCCCCATTCCAGATGGGGACATTGTCATGCTAATAATTGCTCACATTCTTCATGGGTCAGTCTGACAAGGCTCCTTCTCTCTCTCTGAGAGAACCACTTTTATTTACATCATTCAGCAAAAATGGTAACAACCAATGCAATCCTCTACCTCCATCATTATAATCGACATCACGTGAAATCCAGACACAGGCACAGTGATTTCTTTTTTAATCTATAGTTAAGTATGATGTCGCCACTGAAAAGCTGTTTTGTTTTTTCTTGATAAGACATTCTAGTTGATATGTCCAAGGGTTATTTGGCAAATGTTCAATGGTTCATCCTCTGAAACCAACCTGTGCCGCAGAGCACAGCGCTGCTTGTCCCGCTGGGAGAGATAAATATGTGCAAATTCTTGTCTTAACAGCGTAACCTCCTGCTGTAGAAGGCGAGGTTTGGCTCTACAGCTGCAGCAGAACTCAAACACTGTCAGTCTGTCTGTGTGTGCAGGCCAGGCTATGCTGAGGGGCCAGAGCTGTGCGAGGCGGGCTGAGCGAGGGCACTTGGGGGTCTTGGTGTGTGTGCTGTTGCAGGTGGGGGGGGGGAGCCAGTCTGAACCTGGGCTTGGAACTGGGCCATCTGCTCTGGGCTGGCCAACGTCTTCAGCAAGGTGTTCTCCTGCTCCAACTGGGAGTTGCGCTCAATCAGCTCCTTGATCTGCTCCTTAAGGACCTCCACCTCCTCACGCACAGCATACATCAGGTGACTCTTCACCAGGTCCTGAGACAGAGATATGGATTTGTCAAAGGTATCCATCAACAACATCATATCAATATATGTCACTAGCCTACTGTAAAGTTTTGTGAACTTATCTGATCTGTGGCCATTTTTATGTCTCATATTTTTCACGATGCCAGAAATTAGATCACATACAAGAAACCAATCTAACTCAAATAAGTCATGTTCAGAGACGTCAAGCTAATACGTGTGAGGTCCTGGCCCCAAAGCTAAGAAACTGCAACTGCATGACAATTAAGTAAAAAATAAAATTCCGTTAAGATATTGCAAATGGGTAAAATCTTATATCTCAAACCTGTAATCTTTTAAGAAACATTTTTCTGAGTTTGACTACAATGCATTTTGGCCTTATACCAGTATGGATACAAGGATTTCACAGACATTGCTCATTAGAAATGTTGCAGTGATATGGGGGTGATACTACCTGGCCTATTACAATATGAAAATTGTTTACTCCTCTTTTTTTTCCCCCAAATATGGTTTAAGAGTTTGTTTACACTTTATGCTAGTCCAGACATGCTACTAAAGTTGTAACAATTAAATTCAGTCACAAAACGTGTCACTCAATCATCAACTACTGGTCATGTATACATGTACATTCAAAAAAACGCTATTTATAAGAATACTGAGAATTTTATGTAGCCTATCCTAAGACTGATTAATTGCCATCAACATTGGAATATAGGAAAGTCAAGTCAAAGTGTCTGTCATATGCACAGTACGGAAACGCAGTTCCCTGTACAATGAAATTCTTACTTTGCCGTCCACATGAATGCCACACAATACAAATGAAATATAAAGTAGATAAATAAGTAACAAAATCTAAGGCACTTGAAAGCAGCAAATGCAGAGATATAATAAAAATATATAAGAATAAAAGAATGTATGCTAAATGGGAGCTGTATGTGCATTAGTCAGCAGTGAATGTGCATTTATGCATATGCAAATTGAGAATGTAAACAGCACAGGTCATCAGTACGTCATATTCCCTGGTAATAAATTCCTATCAGCTATTTTTATATTTAATACTTTGGTTACCAACTAAATATTCATAATAAATTTAATTGGAGAAGATCTTTAAAAGTCAAGCAACTTTAAGTCTAATCTGATAGGATCAAGAGAAACCGTGAAGTGCCACGTAATTGGCCCTGCCCACATTAAAACGCCGGCCAATCAGAGGCCGAGATATTTATAACCAAGCTGTGAGCCTCCCAGTTTGCCTAGCAACAGAGCTTACAACAGTCAGGGAAACAGAAAATAAAACGTTTTGTTTTCCTAGAATAAAGGTGCTCAATTCCTAGATCTGGTTCTATAGTGTCATAACATCAGCCAGGAGACTTACTGCACTGGTGTAGGAGGAAAACAAAAAAATTAAATTGAAGGTAAATAAATCGTTTGCAATGTCGTTTGAACATGGGAACAGATGTTTTTGACGCCATTCCCGTTATTCTGTTGAAGACGCTTCTGTAGATTTAATCTATCTACTTTATTTGGTCCTATCATAACCAGGTTTTCTGAAGTGACCTCCGCTATAAAAGGCCCAGCACATACATCATTGTACATGTCCTGCAAATTTGTGCTTTGTTAGAAAAAATGTAGGCTATGGGTACTACATCACAATAAAGCCCATATCCCTGAATATTTTTCCTAATCAAGTCCGGTCTTTCAAACGTTGTGTTATATATGGATTAAAGGCCGCTATAGCAGTCAACATTTTATACATTATCAATAGAGAACATGCTGAAAACTCACCATTGCTTGTTCAATCTTGTTGTCTATGGCCACAACACTGGCTCCCGACGAACTGCAAAAGAAGAATGGAGACATTAATGACCCATTTTAGACCAACCTGTGCGGTTAAAAAAGGATGGAGAGCCGCGGCCTTTCTCCCTTTTTAGAAATGCGGCTTGTTACAGGAAGCATCTGGAATTTTCTCTGAAATCAGCGGCCCGCTCTCTCCTGTCCTTCCCTAGAAAGCGCCAGGGGCAGCGCAGTCCCTGCAGGTGCAGCGACGCCGTAGAGTTCAGCTGTGCAGCGCTGCAGCAGGTGAACACACAGGCCGCCGTGTATGTAGGAGCGATATAACACAGTATGTACCTATTGTCGAGCTGGACGTGTGAGCTCTCTGCGCTCAACAAGGACGACAAAAACGATATGGACAGATTTCTCAGCTGGCAGACGCCTAGATCCATAGCCACGGTGTAGCACGGCGTATTCATGCTGTTCATGTTTTACAGTCCCTTAACAAAACGGCTCCGGGTCCCGACTCCACCTCCACGAGGTCCGCGAGACACATCCGCCCGCGCTACTCCGTCTTTCCCCCGGTAAAGCCGTTGCACGACAGCAGCGGTACAACCACCACAATCCAAGGTCAGTTCATCTCGACGCTGCACAAAAATCTGGAGCTCCGGACGAGCACGCATAATTTATCCAGCGTCACACCGACAGCCCGGCTACTGATTGGTGGGGTTTGAATAATTTATTCAGGAACGCCTCAGCTACCACTCAGCTGACATGCTTTTACATAAAATATTCCAGGAACGGAGAGGAGGTGGGCGAAACCGGGAAAAACCGGATGGGAAAAGAAGAAGAAAGAGCTACAATGTTAAAAAAAAACAAGCTGGGGAAAAAGCGTGATTTAAGGTCTGACGACAACGCATTCGTCAGCTCCTGTCTGAATGCTAGTGTCAGCCACTGGTGCTGCTCTGGGCCTTATAACAGCAGAGATGCAGTCTGGTTGTGATCTCCAATCAACAAAGCTCAGTGTTTTTCACTTAGGGAATCCCTCTGCTGATAGACTGGTCAGGCATACAGCATGAAACATGGTCCGTTATATTTCCCCATATAATGAGTTTGTCACAAATTAGTAATTGCATTCAGTTTTATGATTTTATGTTCTTTTGTATATTAGTCTTGGGGGTGTTACAGTGTCAAATCCTTGGCCAAAACACTAAAGTATTCAAAAATGATGACAGTGCTGAACCTGTCCACAGCACTAATATCACAGATCACATTGGTCAAACTCACGCATAAACAGGATCAACACCATTTATATAATCTACAGTAACCAGTGGAGGAAGAAGTACTCCAATCCTTAACTTAAAGTAGAAATACCACTGTATTAAAATATTGCTAAGATCTGCATACAAAATATTACTTAAGTACAAAAGTATTAGCATCAACATATACTTGAAGCAGCAAAGGTAAAAGTACTCATGCGCAAAGGCACCTTTCAAATTAATGTACATCGTATTGAATTACTGATGCATTAAAGTGTTCATCACAATGTTAACTATAACTTGAAGCACTTTACATACTGCTGGTAGCTTGTAAATTTCCCACTGAGGATCAATCAATATAATATCTGTATTTTATTTTTTATAGGATTTTGGAAACTAATCAAAGTTATAAAATATGCATAAAAAATACAATATTTTCTTCGGAAATGCAGTGAAGTCAAAGTATGAAATAAGAGGAGGATGGAAATACAAGTACAAATACCTTGAAATCATTTATGTTACAGTGAAATTAAGCTCTGGGCAGGTGGATCAAAATGTTTTGAATGTCAGTGCAGCGCTATCTTGCATATAGACATGTTGCCCCCGTGTGGCCATGTTACAGAACTGCAGAGCTCTGAGCCACAATGTCAAGGAAGCCTGGCACACTAACCATCTACTGGTGCCACAGTCAAAAGCCTCTTATACACAAGAGGAACATGGATCTAGTGGTCGGAATGTAAATCGATGCTGGCACTACTCCATAAGGTTATTATCTGTTTTATTTATTTTTAAAAAATGTTTTATTTAGCCTTTTACCAGGAGGTCCCATTGAGCTCATGATCTCTTTCTCAAGGGAGACCTGGCCAAGTTACTTTTGAATTTTCTGGCCCATCAGACATTTGAAATCAGCTTTCATAAACTGCATATGTAAAATAGTAAGTTTTTTTTAAACTGATGGAAACGCCATCATCCCACTTCAAAAATAAGATGTAACCGACATATTCCTGAACCATTGGCCTTGGACACTTGGCTGCTCTGTCACTTACCTAATTCCAACATTTTAGAGATTTTATTCTGGTTATCATGCTTACCGTTTCTAATGCTGTTACTTTTCCCTTGCCTCTGCACAGCACTTTAAATTGCCTCTGTGTATGGAATAAAGTTTCCTTTCCTTTAAATTCCACACAGCCTTTGTTTGCTACATACTATACAGCCTATTTTTTACTCTGAGTTTATACATCTGTCAATTTTCTTAGAATGACACAGGTCGTTATGGTCAATCTGACTCAACCGTGCTTTCTCAACACTTTGTAGAGGGAGTAAGTTTGTGAGGAAGAGTCATGCACACACACACCTAAACTACTCCACACACAGAAATTCCCACCTCAGACATCCTTTCAACAAACCCTCTCCCACACATGCACCTCCCTATATGTCATGAAAAGTCACTCTCACACATTCCACATATGCCCACAACCCTCAAAATCATAGATACACAATCATTAGATTCCCGCCTGTCATCACACCCACACTACACAGACCTCAGCATAAAAGAATATTCAAACCTTTTCTAAACATCACTAGTCACCTTTAAAATGGGAGCTTAGGCTGATCTGGGTGTCACAGCTCGTTCCTGGTTCATTAAGCACCTGTACTGTAAACACAGTCTCAAACATAGCCTCTAAATACTTGGTACTGCTGTCAGCCTCTATTCATCTCTGAGCCCAGTCAAACACTTCAGCACTTCACAAGAAGCCAAACAGCTTAATAAGGCTCTAAGCCACACTTCTCTCTTCCGGTCTCTTATTTGACTATAAGGTTAAGCCAATTACCCAGACCCATATAATCACCATTCTAAAGGAAGAAAATACACGGCTGGCTACCGTGGACACAGACGCTGGTAGGAGCTATACTTGGTCTGGCTGGCTGGCTAGCACGTTTAATTACCCACAGTCCACTGGAGATATTACTAAATGGCACATATTTATAGATATGTCAACTTCTGCTTCAGCATGTCTAGACTTTATACATTTAACACACACTCCAATTTATGTACTAAATTTAACTGCACTTAGTGTGCTGAATACCCAGTAACCCTGTCTACAGTACCTGTTTAAAGCATCCCTCACTGCTAATCCTACCCCTGAAGCCACGAATGACTGAATACAAAGGACAAAGTAGCCAGACTGCCATTCGTGTGCAGCAACTGTGGTGACTGACTCCACGACTGGCAGCAACTCCCCAGGGGTCTCCTGGCTGTAGTTTACCTTTTGAGATGCTGCTCCAGCTCCCAGAACAAAAGCTTCACTGCCATCTCATCGTGGCCTTGCACACGAACTCCCCACTCTCTCATGGAGCCGTCCACAGGAGAATATAGCCTACACGCAGGAGTAACACAGCACTGTGTCCCGAGCTTCTTTGTTTAGCTTTCTCAAACACCCCTCACTCCTTCTTGAATCCAGTGAACAGATCTGGGTTGCACCCTATAGATGTAGCAGTGAATACAGCTGCATAGGGAATCAAAGGCAGCATCTGCCAAGCTTATGTGTATGCTGTCTGTTTGTGTCTGAGTAGCTGACTGGTGCGTACAGACAGTAGCTGGGCGGGTGGTGACATGATCACGTGACACAAGGAGTTATATAAACCATCAGATTAGCTGTGGCCCAGTGATTTCCCTGCTCCTACACCACTAGCCCTCTGCCCTGTGTAGTATGAGACACACATATACTGTACAATAAAACTGAGCAGCTGCTATTTAACATCACTAAATCTTTGCCTATCTATACTATCCCAAATACTAACTGTTTTTAATGTCCAGCAAACAAATGTTTGATATACATGCTCTATTTTGCCCCCATCAAAACTGCAAAAGAAGCCCTGACACTTGACCTTATTGCAATAGTTGGCAGTTTCCAAATGAATCATCTTTTTGTTTGTACACCCTGTAGTTTTCTATGGCAACCCTCTGCGCGATAGAGAAGAGACCCATGCTTCAGGGTCTTATCTTGTCATTCCTGATTGAAAGGCAAACTTATGATGACCCGGTACTTTGGCAGACAGAAAACACAACCCGTACTCACAGAGCCTGTTGTGGCTTCGAGACGGCCAGCCAAGAAACAGCAGGTAAAGGATGAGCACAATTCAGGGGATTTTACTTGTCCTAACAAAGTTGGTGTGTCTGGGTGAATCAGTGTCACATGACTTCTGGGTGGGTCATAGTCGTATAGCAGCTTGCTTACTGTACATCACTTCAGTTTAGCTTACCACACATTCATATATTACAAACATATTATATATATATATATATATATATATATATACACATACATATACATACACACACACACACACACACACACACACCACCTCTTGGATTAGGGTGCATGTCATGCCTCTGATGTGGCTGTGATATACAGACCTTCACGAGCAGCCAACCTCAATGACTGATCATTTTATGTTAGCCAGGCAGAGTTAAACACCATCCTTTACTTGCATGCTCTGTGCATCTCTGCATGTACATGGGGTATATCACTCAGTGGAAAGGCAGCTTCAGGGAGTCAGAGGCAGGGGAGAATGATTAGTGGCCATTTTGGTCTTATAGAGAGAGAGAGGTGCTACCGGAGCTTTTGGGCTGACAAGCGGCAAGTCTTTAGTCCTCACGCTCTACTAACACACACTGGGGGAGAGACAGAGGGTGAGGAGGAGGGAAAGCGAGTCAGCCAGAGACACAAATCTACTGCCTCAGCATTCATACTGTCTCAGTCATGGACAGAGAAAGCAGAGAAGAGAATGATTTTAATATGCT